CAACTTGGGCCAGTGAAGCAACATCCTCCACAACTAGACTGAAGAACAAAAGGACAGTAACTTGTCTGTTCCCTTTCCCCCAATTCCCCAGCACTGTTCCCATCCCCCAATTCCCCAATAAAAATCTTTTTTAAAAAAGTATGTATCCATATCTATATAGATATATAGATATAGATAGATATAGATATACATATACATATACATATACATATCAACTGAATGCAACAACCATAGATCAGATTGCACTAGGTGATAGGAAAACAGATATGAACAAGCCAGTTGGCACCTGCCACCATGGAGCTGCCATTCTATTTAGGAAGTCAAACATTAAACACACTAATGAAGGTGTGTTGGGAGCTTCAGAGGGGAAGCATTGTGTACCTGGGAGACCAAACCATGAAGTCAGGGAAGGCCCCCCATAGGGAAGCTGATGTTTCACCTGAGACTTGAAGGATAGCTATGAGTTCCTCAGGCAAAGGGTGAGAGGAGAAAGGAGAAGGCCATTCTGGCTAGAAAGAAGGGCATAGGTGGAGTTCTGGATCCCAGAGGAAGGGTGGAATGTTCAAGAGAAAAAAAGCTCAGTGTTGCTGCAAGATAGGGTTTTGGGGGTTGGGCAGAGAATGGTGTTGGACAAGCCTGGTCCAGCCAGCAGTGGTCAGATCATGGAAGACCTGGTAACATGAGTTAAGAATATTGGACATCAAGGCAGTAGGAAATCAGTGAAGTGTTTTAAACAGAGAAGTGACACGGATCTGAGAGGAGCAAGGATGGAGTAGGGGTAACTGGCAGGAGGTGATGGCCACTCGGACCAAGGGGTGGTGGTGAGAATAGATGGGAGGGCTTGGACCTGTGAAGAGTGGGTTGTAGAACTGACTAAACTTAGTGATTGAGTAAAGGTTGTGGGTGAGGATGAGGAGAGTGGTTAGAGAAAGGAAGAGGAGGGTGATCCCCAGATCTCTACTGGTCAGATTACAGTGCCAGTCACTCATATGGGGAGCAATGGGAGGAGAGTGGAAATTTTCGGGGGGTGAGACAGTGCAGATGAATTCCATCTTTGATGTATTGAGTTTAAGGCACCTGTGGGATACCCGAGTAAGGATGTCTGGTGAGCAGATGTCTCCAAGAGTTGGGCTCTCAGAGGAGATGAAGATGGAAGTCTGGGAGTCATTGGCACCTGTGCAGGGCTTGGAACTCTGGTTGTGGGTGAGATTGCCGAGGAGTGTGTAGAATGAAAAGAGAGTTTTATTAGTCAGGACTCTGGTATAAATGACAGGGATGGATCAGGAAACCCCAAGACAGGAATATGGCCAGCCTCAGATGCAGATTTCTGGAGCAGAGACTCTGATTGGGCCACTTTGGGTCAGGAATCTATTCCAGACCCCATTAAACTTGTGGGGAGTGTTGCAGGACTCATAACACAAACAATGCAGCTGAGATTCCAATTCCCCACTTTGGAGAGGGTGGCAATTAAGAAGGTCCATTTTGCACTGGATAGATACCTGGGGCAGGGGAGGAACCAGAAGGAGCACCAACATTTTTAAGAAGAGGAGCTGGCAAAAGCAAATGAGCGGGCACATCTAGAGAGAAAGAAAGCCAGACAAGAGGGAGGTGGAGAGAAAGAAGCTCTGAAGAGATGCATCTCAAGAAGGAGGCAGTAGCCAATGGCTCCAACACTGCCCAGAGATCCGGTAAGAGGAAGATTGGAAAGTGTGGAGCTATATTTAGTGGATAGTGCCATATCTGGCATGCTGCATAGGGGTCAGGAAAATGATAGCCAGTGTAGACAGGCATTCTAGGCTCCAGGGTACAGAGATAGGGGAGTAACTGGGGGGAAGTGTTGGGATCTAGAAAGTGTGTCTTGTTTTTCAAGGACAGGGATTCTATGAGTAATTAAAGGCCAGTGGAATCAGTGGGAGAGGAGTGGTTCTCTTCAAGCCATGGTGCAAGGTCCCGGGGACCAAGGAGAGGGTGTGACGCTGAGCAGAGGCCACAGGATCATGGCTCAGAGAATGGAGAGTCTCTAGTCAGAGAACTCTGGTTTTGTATGCAGAAAATGTGATCTTTCTGATGACCAAACAAAGGTATTTCAGAAGCTTCAATCGGGAAGACCAAAGATTTAATTTAAAAAACCTAACACTCTGAGCAACAGCGGTTTGATTCCCGGCCCAAGCTGAGCTGCCGCTGAGCTGCCAATAGGTGGCAGGATGGCTTAGCTAAAAAGAAAAATTAAAAATTGACTAAAAACAAACGAAATAAACCTAATACTACCTTGGCCTTCCAGTTCTCTGAAGGTTCTTAAGAGATCACACTTTAGAGCAGTGGTTCTAAAACTTTCGTGTGCATCAGAATTACCCAGAGGAGTGATTCTGAAGGCCCAGCATTTCTTATTCTGGGGGCCTGGGTCCTGGCCCAAGAATGTGCATATCTAGCCACATCTCAGGTCATGCTAATGCTGGTCCACTTTGAGAACCTCTGCTCTGGGGCCTGGTTCTCAGAGTCTGTATGTGGCCTGGGAATCTGAAAAGAAAGCCAAATTATTGAGCACATGCGCAAGTCAAATGAAAATATAATTAGTTGTAAAAAAAATGCATTAGAATGAATGCGACATTGTAAAAGTAGGAAAAAATATTAAAGAGAATGTGCCATTTATTTATTTATTTATTTATTTATTTCCCTAAGGAAATACTAAAATAATAAGTTATTAAAGGGGAAGTGCCATTTTTAAAGAACTCCTTAAAGAAAGATAAGATTTGGTTTTAAAATAAAGTTGTTAGGATGTTACTAGCAGGGGCAAGCTGGCACCATATTCCATGCATTGTTGAAAAGAATGTTGGCTTAGTGACAGGAGGTGTGGGTCCAGCCCCAGCTTTATCACTCTGATTTTAGCATGCGTGACCTTTTTGACCTCCATCTGTTTCTTTCAAATAACACAAATTATTATTTTACCCTTAGAAGTTATTCTTCAGGAGTGTTAAGAAGCCCACACCTTGGCAAAGGATTCTCTCCAGCGACAATAACGCACCATGTTTCTCTCCTCTCTTCTTCAGACCACAGAGGACGAGCCTTCCGAAAAGGATGCCCTGCAGCCAGGCCGCAATATCGTGGCCGCAGGCTATGCGCTCTATGGCAGTGCAACTCTGGTGGCTCTTTCCACTGGGCAAGGAGTGGACCTCTTCATGCTCGACCCAGTAGGTACCCACTATTGGCAGTATCAGCACTTGGGACTCCATGGGCCTCTGTGCTTTAATTCCAGTCCCCTGGGATAATTTCCTGCTCATTCTTAATACTTGCTTCTTGTGTCAGTGAGTCTAGTTTGGGAGACAACACTATCATAAAAAACATTACGGGCCTTTGTCCAAGTGAGGGTATTTGAGGGGTTCTGCAGGTTCAGTCATATCAACTCAGGCCCTATCCATAAAGAGGTTATTATCCAGAAATGTGTGCAACCTCTTTGGTTTATGGGAATACAATGTTCTAAGAATCCCAATGCTGCCAGTTTCAAGAAAGAAACATGAGTTCTTTAGAGCAGCACTATCCAATAGTACTCTCTGTGGCCATGGATATATTCTGTAATCTGTGCTGTTTTTAATATGATAGCCATTAGCCTCATATGACTATTGAAAACTTATAATGAGGCTACTGTGACTGAGGAGCTGGGTTTAAATTTTTTACTTTGTTTTAATGAACTTAAATAGCCATGTGTGACTACTGGCTACCCTATTGGACAGCACAGGTTTGGAGGACTTCCTCTAATCTACACATTCTTCCCAATAGGAGTAGCGACTGGTAGAAAACTGCTTTATCGGGGTTCTGCATTATTCTCCATACTTCTCACAATGAGAAAATTCTCAGTAGTAGAAGAGGAAGAAGCACCGCCTCTGGGTAGATGAAAAATGATAGTGCAATGCTGATTGAAGGAAGAAATAATTGGATAAAAGATGTAAGAACTCAAAAAATGAAGCTGAGCCTTCATGGCAAGTGTACATTAAAAAATGTTCAGGAGAAATTTTGTAACTTATAGAATTTCTCTCATAAATGCTGAATGCTTTGCCTATCACTTGTGAACCACTTTGCCAAATATAGTCAGGTCTCCTGAAAACTCAAATGATTTTGACCGAAATCCATTTCAAAGTTTCTAGTATTCAGTGAGTCAAAAGCAGTTGTTCAGTATTTCAATTTAATTTGAATTTACAAATGTTTGTTGAGCATCTAGTATGTCCTAAGCCACCATTTTAGGCTGTGGAGATACAGCCCTGATCAAGCAGACAAACATCATAGCACTGGTGGAGTTTACATGTTGGAACATGTATGTGAAAGAAAGGGGGTCCCAAAATTTCAAAACAGGGTTAAACTAAACTTTATAGTATTGAAACATAGTATCTTTTCAAATAAAAACTTTCCACATGTAAACCCATCAGATCAAAACCTATTGACATTTCCATTTGCTGATACCCTAATTTTCCCTTATTTTCAAGAAGCAGGCAAAACTGTAGAAATTCTGTAGTTTACAAATATTATTCTCAGACAATAAAATGCCCTTCTAAAATTGTTCTAGAATAAGAGCTAACAATTACATAGCACTTACTAAGTGGTGGGCATGTATCTATTCCAAGCAATTTACATGTATGAATGGAACCTCACAGCGGTGCCCTGCAGATAGTAACTGGTGTCTATAGAGGGACTGGGCACAATTTTATTAATAATTCTGAGGATTTCTTTAGTTTTTATCAATTATTCCTTATGCTAAGTGAATACAGTTTCTGACTGAAGGGTTTTCTTCTTTACTGCATCTAAGAGTCACTGGGGTATTAAGAACTTCTAATGGTTTCCAAGATTGAAACCTTAAGGTAAGAACAACTGGACCCACACATTAGTGGTTGAACTGCATTCTCCACCTTTATGACAAGTTCCATCCATGTAACTTCTTCCTCTCATTGTTGATGACCCAAATCTTCCTGAAAACTTTAGGAATCATCTGGGCACAAGAACTTGGGGGACAAATATAGCTAGGTTCCTTATAAATGAGTAGCCTAGCTGACAGTGAAAGTTGCAAGGGAAACTTTTCCTCTTCCCTTTGAATTATTTTATCTCCTATTATATTACTGCTTGAGCTTCCTGTTCAGGCTCAACATTGTCACTGTTCTTTATACAACTCATAAAAACATCACTGGGCAGCCTGCAGAAGGACTTGGCAATGCCCTGGGTGCTGCCGGCAGGCCCACATCTTCAAATGTTCTCTGATTACTGTGAAGTGTGCTGTTGGCTTCTGTTTCCTGGTATCTTTCTTCTTCTCACTGGTACTTCTCTTCGTCTTTCTAGGCTCTTGGTGAATTTGTTCTGGTGGAAAAACAGGTCACAATTAAAAAGAAAGGAAAGATTTACAGCCTCAATGAGGGCTATGCCAAGTATTTTGATGCTGCCACCACAGATTATGTGCAGAAAAAGAAATTTCCTGAGGTGAGTGAAGAAAGCCTAAGGCAACAGCAGGGAGAATGCTGTCTCCGGGGTTCCTGTTTCAAGGTGGCTCTGGGAGCCTTGCTAAAAAAAGGTGGTGCCCCGGGCCGGCCCAGTGGCGCGATGGTTAAGAACTGGCTTGGGACGCCAGACGGCCCCCGTTCGGATCCCACATATGAGGGCCAGTGACACTGCCCTCCACAGCTAAGATGCTGAACAACAGCTCAACCTGGAGCTGGGCTGCCATGAGTCGCCGGTGGCAGCGTAGGCTGCAGCCGCTGTGGCAGTGAGTTGCCATGGGCTACCGTGTGTAGCCAGCAGCCGCAGTGAGCGGCCGTCCAGAAGCCGGCGACTGATCTGCCTCACCCGGGGAAGAGCACAATGATGGTGCCAACTTGGGCCAGTGAAGTAACGTCCTCCACAACTAGACTGAAGAACAAACTGACAGCAACTTGTCTGTTCCCCTTCCCCCAATTCCCCACCACTGTTCCCATCCCCCCAATTCCCCAATAAAAATCTTAAAAAAAAAAAAGGCGGTGCCCCTATTGATGGCTGTGGGCAGTATGAGAATGGAAGGCTCTGACTTTCTTCATAAGCAATTGTTATCTTTTCTAGCTAAGCTTTACCTGCTAGAGGTGATACTCCTCAGTTTAGTTTTTTAAAAGAAATTTTTTATAATGAAGGCAAAACCGTGTTTTCAAAATTCAGAGGTTCAGGTCAGAACCTCTTTCAAGTCATTTGTTTCATGCTCTACCACCTCCACAGATTCTGGTCACTCAGTTATATTTGCTTTCAGATGGAGATGGGGAGTGGTGCAGGCACTCCCCTGTCCTCTCTGCCGCTGAAGAAAGAAAGAGCATCCTCCTTTGCCATCTCTGTCCCCTGACGATAGCAGCTCCCCCTTCCCTGGTTGCACTCTTCTACTTTGTCATGATAATAGCAGCTAGTGTAAATTGCCAGGTGCTGTTCTAAGTGAACAGTCAAGTAAGTCGTCCATGGTGACCCTATTAATAACTGACAGAACCAGGATAAAAATCAAAACCATCTGGATCCAGAGCCTATGGATACCGTGCAATCCATTAGTGCAGATGAGATTAGTGTAGGGAGTTGTGACCAGCATGTATGGTTACGTGAAATAGAAGAGAATGGAACAGAGTGAAACAGAACAGAACGAATAGAATAGAATAAAAATTAGTAAATAATTATTTTTGCAAAACACTTGTTTTATTTCAGCCCTGTATATGTGTTTGAGTGAGCACTGTATTTTGTCATAAAATGCATTTGCTTTTAAAAAATTGTTTGAAAATCATTGCTATGCTATGTGGCCTCTTCCTGACTTTTATCAAAAGTGTGACATGTGATTCAGTATCTCTATCTACTCAGACTTTTGCCAACATCTGGAGTGATTTCAGGGTCCATGGGTCAATCCAGTAGTTATTTGTTATTATTCTTTAACTTCAGCTACATACATCTCTGTTTCAATTCATCTACCTGGTTCCATACCTATATCCTAGGGATTATCAGTTCTTAAGAATTGCTCAATTATAAAAATGTAAACTCTCATGTTTACTCTTCAAACAACCCCCTAGCCTTTCATATTTCTTACACTGTGCATTAGTCCATTTGGACTGTTATAACGGAATACCATAGACTCGGCAGATTGTAAACAGCAGAAATTAATTTCTCATGGTTCTGGAGGCTAGAAGTCCAAGATCAAGGTGCAGGCAGATTTGGTGTCTGGTGAGGGTTCACTTCCTAAATCATAGATGGCCATCTTCACACTGCATCCTCACATGGTGGAAGGGGCGAGGGAGCTCCCTGGGGTCTTTTATAAGGCACTGATCCCATTCATGAGGGCTCCACTCTCATGACCGAACCCCCTCCCCAAAGCCCCACCTCCTACCACCATCCCAGTCAGGTTAGGATTGCAACATATGAATTTGGGGCAGGGAAAGGGGTGAAAAGTGAGGGTGGGATACAAACACTTGCTCCATAGCATATGGCTGTATTGTCCCTTGATTCTTCTTCTTTGTCCCTATGTATTGTCTGTGTCCTCTTTCCCTGTCCTTTGTTCCTCTCCTGACCACATTGACACCCCAGCAGCCTAGATTCTATGATTGATGACATCAACTTCTCTTCCACCTGCATCCTCTACTTTCTCACCTCTTTAGCCTTCTATTAGGTTGGTGCAAAAGTAATTGCAATTTTGGACTGTGAATTTTAAATCATTATAACTAGGCTCTAACACGACTTTATTAATCAAACTAGGAACCATTACAATAGACACATTTTTGCCAATGAGGAAAAAGTTTGTTTATTTCTGTAGCATAAATATCTGTCCTTTGGGATTCAGCGAACTCTTAGAAAGAATTTTCTGCATGCTGCTGGCTGTGAAAGCGTTTTCCCTGCAAAAAGTTGTAAAGATGCTTGAAGAAGTGATAGTTGGCTGGCGAGAGGTCAGGTGAATATGGTGGATGAGGCAAAACTTCATAGCCCAATTTGTCCAACTTTTGAAGTGTTGGTTGTGAGATGTGTGGTTGGGCATTGTTGTGAAGAAGCATTGGGCCCTTTCTGTTGACCAATGCCAGCTGTAGGTGTTGCAGTTTTCAGTGCATCTCATGGATTTACTGAGCATACTTCTCAGGTGTAATGATTTGACCGGGATTCAGAAAGCTATAGTGGCTCAGATTGGCAGCAGACCACCAAACAGTGACCACGGCCTGTTTTTGGTGCAAGTTTGGCTTTGGGAAGTGGTTTGGAGCTTCTTCTAGGTCCAACCACTGAGCTGGTGGTTGCCAGTTGTTGTATAAAATCCACTTTTCGTCCCATATCACAATCCGATTGAGAAATAGTTCATTGTTGTCACATAGAATAAGAGAAGACGATGCTTCAAAACTATTTTTTTGACTTGTGGTCAGGTCATGAGGCACCCAATTATCGAGGCTTTTCATCTTTCCAATTTGTTTCAAATGCCAAATGACTGTAGAATGGTTGATGCTAAGTTCTTCGGCAAGTGCTTGTATAGTTGTAAGAGGATCATATTTGATGATTGCTCTCAATCGGTCATTGTCAACTTCCGATGGCCAGCCACTATGCTCCTCATGTTCAAGGCTATCGTCTCCTTCGCAAAACTTCTTGAACCACCACTGCACTGTACATTTGTTAGCAGTTCCTAGGCCAAATGCATTGTTGACATTGTGAGTTGTCTCGCTGCTTTACGACCCACTTTGAACTTGAATAAGAAAATCGCTTGAATTTGCTTTTTGTCTAAAATCATTTCCATAGTCTAAAATACATATAAAATTAACAGCAAGTAATAAGTCATTAGAAAAAAACATAAAGCAGGAAATATGCATTAAGATAATGTATAACATAACCACATTTATTTAAGAATGTATTCCAATACCAAAGGTAAATTTCAACAATGCAAAAATCATTACATTTGCATCAACCTAATACATTCTCCTAACCCTGAGTCAATTTCCAGTTGACCCATCACTCCGTCGCATGTGCCAAGGAGTGTAACTAAGCAAATGGTGGCACTGTGAATGCTGTCACCATGTTTACTGGTCTATTAGTGCCCCTCAGCATCTTGTATTTGACCTTGGTCCTACCTGACAGAGAAAATAGATCCCATTAACTCTCCATCTCACGCCTGCAAACACATTGACAATCTCTTCCTTTTTAAATGATCTCAGGTCCAAGGTTCATCCTCCTATCTGTGCTCTTAGCTCTCCCTCTTTCTCCTTGCTCTATCTTCCTTTTTCTGTACTTTCATCCTCTTGATCTCTAGTAGTTATTTCCTATCAACCTATGAACATATTCACATCTTTTTCATCTTAAAACTCACCCACCCACCTAATTTTGCAGCTACAGCCAATGCCCAAACCCTCTCCATCACATTGCAATGAATACATTCATGCACATTCAAACACACATACACCATTCATTAAGTCTCCATTTTCTTTTCTCCCACTCAGTCCTCTGAAATTTGGCCTTTGGCCCTACAACTCCATGGAAACTGCTCTTGTCAGAGTTACCAATGACTTCCTTGTAGTCAAGTCCATTGAAACATTTCTGTCTTTGTATTATTCATTCTCTCTGGGCATTTGGAATTATTGATCACTGTCATTGTCTTGGATCTTTCTTCTTCTCTGAATTCTGTGACTCTACTCTTTCTGTTTTTCTGCCTCTCATCTCAGGAAACTTTCTTCATCATTACTATCCTATTGTTCAGAGTACTTTAAAAGTAAAGTTTGAGGTGTAGTTTAGTTTTAGAACAGAAAGAAATAGCCCATGTGAATTGAATTGACCAAGAAGATAATTTTTCTCATCAAGATTTTTTTGGACTAGACTGATTCTAAAGTTTATATAAAAAATGAAAAAAACAAGTATAAGTAATGCAAGAAAATTTTAAAAAATGGGAGACGATGAGGAGGAAATAGTGGTGCAACTAGATATTAAAATATATTATAAAGGCTCAGTAATTACAACAGCATGGTATCAGCACATGAATAGACAGAGCAGTGGATCAGAATAGGAAGTCTGGAAGCAAATACAAATATGCACGGGAATTCTGTTTATGATAAGATGAGAGACAAAACAATGGGTAAGGATAGACTCTCAAATTTTTAACATCCTCTTTCCTATGTTTTCTATCTCATCCTGTCTTTCTGTCTCCTTTCCTTGGCCTATAAATATACTTAAGTGTCCCTTGTTAAAAATCAGAAAACAAACAACCCTCCCTTCCTTCCTTCCTGTATTACCTTAGTTAACCACTCTTTCTCCTA